ATGTGCTAATGTGATTATCCTGACATACTACTGCAGAGTCCTTCTGCTTCGTATGCCGGAGGATTTATCCCTGAAAGTATTTTTTTTTATTAATCGGAATAGGTTCTTGATATGATGAAAGCTGTTTTTTTTTTCATGAACATGAGCTAATAAGTGTCCCAGTGTAGATTAAGAAGATTAAGATATGTGCAGAGATGGCAGAGATGCCCCACCATCTACTTGGACGTAGATTTAAGTGGGTCACTGATCACAGTAGTAGTATATTAAAATCATTAAAGGTTCAATGATACACAGATTTTTATTCAATATGATTAAAAAGTAGGTTGATTCTTACTCAAGTTGCATTTTTACTTAGAAAGCTTTCTTTAAAAAGTTGCACATTCCATTCAGATATAGTTGCAAAATGCAAAATATTAGAAAAATCAATCAGACTTGAAGATATTACTTTTTATTATTTGTATCTTCTTAAATGTAACAATCAAACAACAATTAAGACTGATTTAATTTGTATTGAGCCAGATTAAGCTTCAAAGGGATTCTCTCATCCTTGTGGGGTCAGGCAGGAGTCTCTTGGGCAATCTTAATAGGATATTACACTCTGTCTTATCATACTGATACGTGCCAGCTTAGGAAGTGTGGTCCTTACACTGTGTGGGCTGCCTGTGCCTAACAGAAACTCATTTATGTTTGATCTGACTGCTTGGCATAGATGTCAGGACGGCTGCTGTGTTTTTGTAGATTGACTAATTTTACTCTAAATAAATAACAAAGCCCACCATTTGACATCAATTCCAAAAATAGATTCTTCCGGGCAGCAAAAGTGTAAATGAGGCATCCTGTGATGTATATCTGGTTCATTTAGTTCATTTTTAGTTTTTTAGTTTGGGCAAACGTTCTAATCACGCATACTGTATTTTCATGTGACAACGTCATTATGTCCTGAGCTTCCAAGGTTAAATCCCTGCCTGTTATTCCCTCCTGTTATCCCGTTCAGCTGCAGTGGAATGGTATAGGGGGCCGAGATAGCTGCCAAGTCATGGAGAGAGTGCCATAATGACACATGAGACCCTCACTAGCACCCCGCTGTCAGTCAAGACTGCAGCCCTGCGCATGGTTGACCTACCGCTGTCCGTCTACAGCTCCCTGGCACAGGTGAGTGATGTGTGGGAGTGGCAGGTGATGATCCACAGGTCTCCCTGGTGTCTGTGTGGAGGCGCAATGTTCTATGGATTATTTCTTCAAATGTTTTTTGTAGAATTATCAGTGATAAACATAGCAAGTATTTGATTAGTTACATGAAAATGGTTTTGAGGAATATTATAGGTGTTTGTGTAATTTCTAAGAAGAAATTTGTCGTTTCCCAAAAGAATTGTGCATCAGAAGGTGGCATTTGTGTCCCGGTGCTGCACAGTAAAGCTCCAGTATGTTCTGATCCAAGCAATAAACGGGCAAACAAACATCCACCAAGTAAATGTGAAATTTATACTGGAAACAGCAATTGCGCAAGTGAACAGCCAGACCTTTAGAAGTTGGATAACGTTCAGTGTTTGACCATCAGGGCGGTGATCAAAGTGCACGATTGCAGTCTCATTTGCACGCTGTCGGTACAGAACTGAACCATGTGTAGTCACTAGGTTTGGCCTCATGGGGATGTTTCTTTTTGGCCTTGTTTGTATTTGTTTGTGTGTCGGAAAAAAAAGCCTATTACAAATTAATTGTAAATTACTTTATTGCAAAGTTGATATTTTCTAAAAAAATTATTGTATTAAAAAGTTTTTTAAAAAATCATAAGACACAGAAAACAGTCTAAGATTCAAATGGCATTAAAGAGTTAAATGAAAGCAGTTTTTGGATGTGTGCATTATTTCAAAGTTTTGATTTGTGTTTAAAAAAAAAAAGGGAAAGAAAAGAAAGACCCTTTAAATCAAAGCTATGATTCAAAATTGAATTAAGTAAATTAAAGTAAAATTTCATTTAAGCGCAGGGAAATTTTTCATGTTTCTCACAAGGGATTTTCCTCGTGTTGTCTCTGTTTGCCGTTCTTTGTTTCCCTCAGGGCAACAATGGCTGGTATTTTCCATGCGTTGCCCACATGCTGCTGTGCTTCTGGGGGGTGTTTGCGTGGCCAGAGTCACGGAGCAGGTCTGATATTTATAGAGCGCTCTGGTAGAAGCGTGTCTGATGTGTATGGCAGCAGCAGAGATGGTCTCAGATTGGACGCTTTAGCACCCAACCCGTTCACTTCCCCCGCCAGTCGATATTCTGACCTCCTGACTGACTGTCTCTGTAATCTTTAGTCTCCAGGAATGTTCTGGACTGGGGTCTTTGTGGATAACTGCCTCATTCAGGGTTTCTAACTATAGGCCGAGGCGGCTTTGCCTGTCTGATAATGAGTATTGTAGGGTGACTATCGCAATCCTTAGTAGTCACTGAGGGAAGGATG